GACCTAAATGAGCAGTTCCGCGCTTATAATGCGACCATGCGACCATTTTTCGGAATGAGTGCGAGAGCGGCCAGTTATGTCATCCGCGGGCGCTTTCGGCAGAGTTGGCGAGGACGCGCCAAGAAATGAGTCGGGCGGACAAACGTCGGGCGGACAAACGTCGGGCGGACAAACGTCGGGCGGACAAACGTCGGGCGGAAAAACGTCGGGCGGACAAAAAATTTAAACGAAAGGGGGGGGCGGACAAATTTCGGCAGGACGGACAAAAAGGGACGGACAAACGATGTAGACTCGGCGCGGCCGTGGGCGTGGCGAGGTGTGGCGTGGCGTGGCGGGCGGGGCGCGCGGGCAATGCCGGTCTGGCATGCGTTACAGGCGTTCCGAAGCCCCGAGCGCCGCGCGACATGCGAGGGGCCCGTCAGCCCCGTCTGCCCGCCTGTTGCGGCGACCCACGCGGTGACCCGCTCGTCAAAGGCATCGCCGCCGCCCGACAGGTAAAAAGAAAAAAAGAGATGGGGCGGCCGGGAATCGAACCCGGAACTCATTGACGATGCAGCCAAAACGCTCGACACGGCATGAACCCGTGCGGGTGGGTCAACCGCCCTCGCACCATGACAGTGCGGCCGCGTCACGCGAGGCCCGTCTGCGCTGCAGCCCGATTCCGTCACTCTTTCGCACCTGACGAGTGCGACAGGCAGCGGCGAAGCTCTGTTCAAACGGAAACGGCCTTGAGTCACCGTATCTCACAGCGGATGAGGACGTATATGCAGCGATAGCTCGTCACACCGGTACTTCGACTCGGCTAATCTAAGGCATCCAATTATGTGAAAGGGCTTAGAGCGTTCGACGCGGCGTGACGAGGGACCCGCGACGACGGGCAACGCGAATCCCTGTGGCGGCCGGCGAGTGAGTGGGCGGGCTGTTATCTGCGCTCGGAGTAACAGTGCCCCCCCCCCCCCCCCCCCCCAGGCGCGCGGCCGGCCCAGGTGGAGATAAGCGTTTCGGGCCCCTAAACAAAAGGGCAGTAACCACAATCGAGCACACGAAAAAGGCAAACGAAAACTAAATAAATCAACAAATACAATGAAGCAGATACCGCGTATATAATTCGTCGTGATGTTCGTTATCGTGGTTCGCTAACGAGAATGTCATGACAGATTATAACGAGAACGCTGCACTTCTTTCCACTGTAGCAAAAAGGTACGGAAAATTCTGTTTATTTTTTTGTCAGGATTCTCCGTAGCTGTATAGACTGTATAGACTGTATAGACTTACAGAGAACACCGTAAGGTCCTCCGGAGAAGACTGTACGGCCCTAGGGAGAATATTGTAAGGTCCTACGGAGGATATTGATTGGGAAGGGGGCTAAGGAGAATTACCCACAAGCTGTTTACAGAATTTTCCGTAAGCTTTTAGCCACAGTGTCTGCAAACGAAAGCAAACGACTGCCAGATTCACTACTTCAGGAACCGCGGGGATTTTTGATGAACGCCAGCGTGTTCGTACTCCTTCAAATGCTGGATTTCCTTTCCAGTGCAGCACGCTGGCCGTGGCGCTGCTGCTGCTGTTGGCCGCGGGGGCCGAGCTCGGGACCGAGGCGCTGTGCTGCGGGCTGCCCCTGTGGCCGTGGGGCGTGTGCCCGGACACCAACGCGCCGGCCGTGCGCCAGTGCTGCTCGCACGGCGAGTGCAACGTCTTCTGCTGCAACTGCGACCAGCCCTGCATGGACGGCGGGGACTCGCCGGACCGCCACGGCCGCGGCGACGACGACATCACCGCCAGGGCCAACGCGAGCACCGCCACCCCCGCCCCGGGGCGCGGCCACAGCCCCGGGCACAGCCCCGGCCACAGCCCCGGCCACAGCCCCGGCCACAGCCCCGGGCACGGCGGGGCACTCAGCCTGCAGCACGGCGGGTAGGCAACCCGCGCGCAGCGGCGGCGCCGCGCGGCCTGCCTCGCAGGCGCTCCAGCGGACGGCAGCTCTGGCTTCCACTCGCAGCGCCGCCACTGCCGCTGCACTGTACACTTCGCCAAAGCAAAGACAGTAAAGCCCTCGCCGCCGCCGTGCCGCTGTGCCCCGAGGGCCCGGAGGACGGTCTCAGGAATCCGGAGTATAAATATCCCCGAATGGCCCGGCCCTTTTATCAGGATGAAAGCGGAGGAGGGGAGGGGACCCGTCATTCCGCGAGGGGGGCCGCGGGGGCGCATCGCCGCGCGGCTGCAGGGAGCCGAGGCGCGGCGAACGTCCTCATCAACCTAACGACATTTTCCAGATGGCGGGCGGAGATAGCGACTGCCACTGCACTGCAATACATTCGCTGCAATGCGACCACTGGGCCGCGAGCCAGCGGAGGCGGAGGGCGGACCGGCGGCACGCCGCGCACGCAGAGCGGTACGCGCAGTGCGGCACACTGGGGTCACGCTGCAACTCCAAGCGCCCCGGCGAGGCCGGGCGAGGCACACCCGGCCGGCCACACCGGCAGGATAAGGCGTACATTTTCCTTTACGGCGTGGCCTATGGGGCAGGTCGGGCGGCCCGGGGGCGGTGGGGGCGGCCCGCTGGCCGGGGGGCGGTAGGGGCGGAGCGGCCGGCCCGGCCCCCCTCGCCTCGCCAAGTCGGTTACGGCTCTCGAAATAAAGACTCACGGGGGTGCAGGCCGCAGGCCGCAGGCCGGCAGCGCCATTCCGAACGGCGCCTCCGTCTCTCTCGCACCCCTACGCCACGCGCGCCACGCCCCGCGAGTGCGAGAGAGACGGGGCGACGTGGGTCCGTGAGCCGGCGCGGCTTATCGGCAGGGGGATCAACGCACCGCGACGACGCCCCAGAGAGTCGATTTCGTCGCTCCGTCTCTCTCGCACTGGTGGAGCCCGGCGTGCGAGTGCGAGAGAGACGGAGCGACGTGGCGACTCGGGGGGTGACGTCCGCCGTCCGCCGAGACAAATTAAATCGACTCCCCACTGTGGCGCTTTTGTGCTCGCCGGCGCGCTCGCCGCCCGCCAGGCCGCCAGCTGCTTTCCGCGACGCGCGGCTTTCCTTTGCAGTCGAGAAAAATGAATTTCCCCTCCGCCTCCCTCGGCTTGCCTCGGCTTGCCCTGGCCCTTCTTCTGGTTCATGTTTTCCTTTCCCCGCCAAGGGCAAAGAAAGTGGTCCGAGCTGTTTCCCTGCGCGCTACGCGCTACGCACTCCCTTCCCCCGGGTCTACACGAGACAGGGCAAGGCCCGGGCAAGGCGCAGCCGGCCCAGCCCAGCCCAGCCCGCGGCCCCGAGCGAGGCTAGGCCGGGCCGTCCCTAAAAACGCAGAGCGGCCTCACGCACAGGCCCACGGGGACGCAGGGACGGTACGCCCCCCAGGTGGAACTCGGGGTCCGTCCATATATCCCGTCCCCATTTCGGGCCTCGAGACGGCGCCAAGCCGCCTCCCCGTACTGCACGATTCGGCGGGGAGTTCGGCCGCTAAACAGCCGTTCAAAGCACGACACTGGAGCGCGCTGGCGCCGCGCCGGCAGCAGCCCGATTCCGAGCCGAGGGGCCCGTCGGCCTGTCCTTCGCACCCACACGGGGCGCGCGGGACGCCCCGCGAGTGCGAGCGAGAGGCCCTTGTCGTCGGCACCATAGCCAGCAGGGCGAGCAGGGCGAGGTAGTTCTGTAGACTGTCCTCCATTATTCATGGGCCCCGCCAGCAGCCCCGCGCTTCGGGCTTCGCGCTGCACCACTCTTCCCTTCAAAGAGGCGCCCGCCAATCGTCGCTCTGTCTCGCTCGCACTCCAACGCGACGCGCCGTGAGTGCGAGAGAGACAGAGCGACTACCGCTCGGAATCCGCCTGCCTGGCCGCGCCGTACCGCAATCCATCCTCCCCCAAGGACGCCAGCCAGGACGCAACGAGGACGCCACGAGGACGCCAGGACCCCCTGCCCCCATCACGGCAGATTGGGCCAGCGCAGCGCGCAGCGCAGCAGGCTGAGAGGCGTCGCTCTGTCTCTCTCGCACCCGCACGGGGCGCTTCGTGAGTGCCAGAGAGACAGAGAGACGACTCTCGGAATCAGTCGGCAGCGCGTCGGAAATCGGGTGGAGAGGCTCTTGTCAACTCACGCACCGCCATTCCCCCCTCCCAGCCAAGCCATGGCCAGGCTGGGGGCAGCGGTAAAACAGTGCGGATCTGATGAGGCGGCTCGCGGCGTTGGAGAAGGACGGACGGACGGACGGGCGGACCGCAGCAATGAAATGTTGCCATCGGCCCAACTTGAAAACCGGTAGGGGGAATGGCTGCCCCTCCCCTCCCCCTCCCACTCTTCCATGCGCTAGGCACTTCCCCACAACTCGCAAAAAAACTCAACTAATTTGAGTTTGCTCTGCGACGAGAGGCGTTCTCGTGCAGGGCATTTCTTCATTAAAACAAACGAAATTAGTCGGCAGAGTGCGGGGGCAACGTGCCCCAGCCCGCTGGAGCACGCGCGTGAGTGTGTGGACGTGATGTGGTCGTAATTGTGTCAATGTCAAAATTCGGTAATGGTGTCAACCTGTTGAACCCTGCGGCCCCGCGGCGGTTGGCGCAGTTCGCGGCACGCCCCGCGCCGCGTCCCGCTTTCGCCTTTCCCCCGCAGTGCGCCACGCCCGAGGAATGTGGCAGATAATAACGCAGACAGCTTCACTGTTGCTGTTCCCTCCGCGACGCTGAGTCGTCTGCTATGAATAGACGGTGAGATTGGCAGCCCTGCGCCAGTGTGTATGTGTGTGTACGCACTACGTGCGCCCATAACCTCAAACATGACGTTTCGTAACCCCGAAAATGGACTGTCTACGCCGACGCGGGCAGCTGCGTGCGCGGTGGCCTGCACGAGGGCTTCTGTGGTGACCTCCGCGGCCGCGGCCCGGACTTGAGAGCCACGCTGGCGCGCTGGACGGAGCGCGCGCGGCCACCGGAACATGTAAACAAAAGGTGCGGTCTGCCTGTGGCGGCTGGCATGCGGGAGTAGACTGCGGCGGCCCGCTTTTCCTCACCTGTCTCGTGTTTGGCAGTGACAACAGCGCCGTCAGCTGGCAGGCTCGTCTCCGCTCACGCGCGAAGAGCACGCACACGCGGGCGAGGGCGGCGTTGGGGGCCATTTCACATCACACTCACACTTGGCACAAGCAGAGCAAGCAGACACTGCACTGTCTGGCTCTGGCCCTCCGCGACCGCACTGTTGGCAGCACGCGTCGTGCGCCGCGTCGCGGTAGGGAGCCGCGCCACTATTGGCAGGGCCGAAGGCGAAAGGCGCGATCGCTCAACTCGTTCGGTTCGGTTCGGCGCGTTGGCGTTCGTTTGGCCCCTTCTCGCGGTCAGCCTCTGCCGGCGAGTCGCGGGCGCGTCTCGGTGGAGGCGGCGGCGGCGGCGTCGCGGGGCGCAGAGGGGTGGGGCGCTGGGGGGTGCGGCCGGTGGGCGGCACTGGCACTGGGCATGGGCGGCGGGGCCAGGCGCGCGCACCCTCTATCCACGGCGGACTACCAGCGACTGAGGGGCCTGGGGGTGGTGCCCAGTGCCAGTGGTGCCGCCGTGTCGCGGCCGCGGCGACGACCTGGCGGGGCGGCGGGGGCCTTCAGCCGGCGTCCGCGAGGGGGCGCCACCCTACAGTGTGCCCCCCTGCCCGCCCACCCCAAAAATGCAGCCCTATCAGCTACTGGGACTTCCCTGGTGTCATTGTGTAGATTGCTTACAGGTATGAAATAAAGTTCCACAAAAAGGCTTCCTTTGCAAAGGAATTATTATTTCAGGAAGTCGCAAGACCACATAACACAGACAGAAAAATTATACACTATGTTACCACGAACATATATGAGCACAGTTCTGAAAATAGTACAGTTGTCGATTGATTGGCGGCAGATAATTACATAAATATACTAGATCATGTTTGCCTATCTTTTCCCCTTTTTCCCTCCTTTCCCCCCTTTGGCAGCTCTCTTCTCTTCAACTTTCTGCATTTTGGTAAGAGTCTTAAAAACTTCACGTTTAAGCACCTTCTGGCGCCGTTCCTTCCCGTACTCTTCAATTTCTTTCTTCTTTTTGAGTTCTTCTATTCGGGCACTGGTTGCCTTCTTGGCCAGTTGTTGCTTATGTCCATAATTAGTTCTCAACATAGTCATCAGATTATCAACCTAAGAAGAAATATAAAAGTTAGATTTTACACACAGAAGAAAGTTAACCATGAATCAATTTATCTTGCTTACCTTCTGCTCGTGTGCTTCTCTGACAACAGCTATACGCTGACTCTCTATACTAGGACCAGCCTCATGCTTGTGTTTAGGTTTATCACGATATGGGAGTTCTTTCTGCAATGCTCGGGGAATGACTAAGGGTCTGAACACCTTCGGCTCACGTGTAATTGGCTGTGAAGGAAAAAAAATAGTTTTTAGAAGAAGATCACAGTTGCATTTTTTCTGTAAAATAACCAGAACACTTTTATTTTACTTACAGTATACTGACTGTCCTTATTAGCATCTCCTCGGATTCCACGTTCCCTCTTAAGCTGTCCAGTAGTTTTCATGCCCTGCCATTCATTTTTCTTTTCAGGCGGAAGTAATAATGATGTGACAGGATTGTACAGCTGTGGCACATCCACCTTGTACCATGTGCGGCAAAATACAATATCTGGAAAAGTTTATCATTATTATTATTATTATTATTATCAAAGGGTCTAATTCAAAGCAATTTGTTTCCCAACTTTATGAGAACATACCACTAAGTTGGATTTTGTCCTCAAATGTAGCCCTAAATACACCTTCTGGTTTGGTACAGGCTTTTTTAATTTGACCTCTTATTCCTGAAACTGTTTTAATTTTGGCTCCTTCAAAACGTGCAACTTCAAGAGAAGATGTAAACATATCTTTAATGAAAGCAGTCTTCTTGTATATTTTCATAGGAACACCAGTCAGCTTTAATTTCTTTGTGATTTGGGTGGTCTTGTCTTGCTCTACAACAACCCCAGTGGCTGCTATTCTAAATCCAGCCTGCAAATTTTAAAAAAATGGCAAAAGCGACTCATCAAACAAAGAGCAGATAAAATAGATGAAAAATATCATCATGTTGGTGGAGTATGCTTACAGCTCTTGAGGCAACATCTTGAAGAGCTAAAAATCCAGTTGTTTGAGGAGTTATAGGACCCCAAAAATGCCCCATGCACGCAACATGCTCTGGAGTGTATTTGAGCATTCTTTGTCGCATATTGTCTTCTTGTTTGGCAAAAACAGGCAAACTCTGGAATCTTCTCCATCCCATTGATATAATTAATGGATCCCGATTTTTGAGAATTCGTTTATACCACCGATGCTTTTTCATTCGCACCTAATATAACAAGGACAAACTATACATCTGGCTGCAAAAGATAATGTCATTCATATCTGGTTTACTATTGTTCTTACCTGCACAAATCCTATGTTTTCCTCGCCAGTGAGGAGACCTCCTACTACCAAAGGATAAGCAGGGTCAAAATGTTGGACAAGTTCACATGGAACTTGAGCTAACTCAATTCTAACATACATGCCGGCCCTGAAACCTTCAAGCTGGACACGCAGTTCATCATCCAACCCTTCAAATTCTGATTTATTTAGCTGAAATGAGAACAAAAATATGTATACATTATAATTGAGTTACTGATACAGCACTTAACCGAATTTCAAAGAATTGCATACCTGAGCTTGCTGATTGACTTCAGCCTTCAGTTCATCATAGAAAGATTTACCTCCCTCCTGCTCATCATATTCTGCATTAAACCTTTCTTTTAACTTCATTTTTTTGTCCATTATTTCTTTTTTACTCATAGGTTTGCTTGGCTTCTTAGAATCTAAAATTATTTGGTAAAGTATAAAATAAAACAATAACACAACAACAACAAAACTTCACCTAGGAAAGATGACGTACCTTTATCCTCACCATCTCCATCCTCTTCAAGACCGTCCCCTTTTTTGGAGCTACCAAACTTCTCTCCAGTTTCCAAATCCTCAAAATCACCAAACATTTCATCATCTCCATCACTAGCATCATCTAGTCTCAGTAGCTCCTCAGCATCTTCTGATTCTTTCCATTTACCAGTAACAAAGCAATCACGAATCAAGTCTCGCACCTAAGATGCAAATCATTAATTATTTATTTAGAATGGGGTTGATCAAATTTGATATTTGATTCAAAAAGAACTCACATCTTGTTGACTCCAATCTCTAACTAAATTTAGAGGAAAGCGGGAGCAATCCTCAGCATTACATGTGTTTCTTGATTCTTGGCGCTGGTGTTGCTTTCGGCTTACAACTCGGAAAAGACCACCAACTTCTTCACTATCTGACTCAGATTCATCTTTCTTCACTTCATTTATTTTTCCTAAAATAAAGTTGAATGAATAGTGTGATTAATCAACTAATTAAGAGAATAAACAAAATTAACAGAGAGTGACACTGAAAATCACCATACCATAGACCATTTTCCACAAATTTTGAGTGCTGGCTTGTCTTTCAATGAATGCATCAGCTGCCTTCTGTTGAAGATTTGATTTCCAGCGGATGGCATCTTCCTCTGCTAAAGCTGCAGAGCCATTTGCACTAGAAGATGGAGGCTGCTCTTCATCATTGCTATGGACACTTCCATCACTTTCATCTTCATCCTCAGTTAAGTCAGAATCTCCACCAAAATCACTCTCACTTTCACTGTCATCGCCCTTTTCATCATTGCTACTCTGTGACCAGTCTTCCTCTTCATCAGAAAAGACAGCAGAAGGTTTATCATTTCCTCCTTTTTCCAGCATGGACAAGGCATCAGCAATTTTACTTCTTATGTCAGATCCTCTGTCTTGGCTGAGCTTGGTATACAGCACGTCACTCTCTTTGATAGGGCGAATTTTCTTCCCATCATTAAACACAATTTCTTCATCACTGTTATCTTCATTATCTTCATGGGATTTCTTGATCTTTTTGGAAGGTTTTTCTAGCAAAGATGTTTGTCCTTTCGGAACTTTTCTTTTCTTAGAGAGTGTAACCTCATCATTTTCTTGCTTGGTGTCCTCATCACTCTCCAATCCAAAATCTTCACCAATAGTCCGTGCATTCTTTCTTTTCTTGCGATTTTTCCCATCTTTCACAATTGATTCGATTTCATTTTCACTATCTTCCGTGATATCACCATCATCAACTCCTTCTTCATCATCTAGATCCAGTTGGTTGTCTGGGGAATCTTCATCACCTTCGTCATCTCCATCATCTTCGTCGTCATCATCATCATCATCACTTTCACCAACATCAACAGGAAATAAAACTCTTCGACGTTCTCTTCCAGTTTCATCAGTTACGACTTCAAACTGGCGACCCGTGGTATTAGGTCTAAAATAAAATTTGAACATAATTAGTAAATTTTTATGTTGGAAAGTTCAGAATGAACAAACCAAGACAAACTAGTAGAAACTTACTGCTCCAATTGGTCTCCTGTTATGGGCTTTGCATTACTAAACAGCTGCAATTCACTATGTTTCATTTTTTCATCAAGAGTTTCTTGGGTTTGAAGTATATTACTAACAAGCTCTCGTTGGGCATGCCGGTCTTCATTGTCATTCTGCAAAAACAGTCAATTTGAAGCCTAACAGCAAATAACAAGCAGCTGACTCAATTCCTGGTAACCAAGCACAGGATATATACCTTGTTAGAATGGGAGTGACTGCCTCCCAAATCAACATATACAGCATCCTTGTCATAAACAATACCCCCCACACCAGAAAATGGAGCATAAATTAATTTGTCTTTTTCTCCTAGGGTACGTTTCTTTACTGTCTCAGGCAATGGGCATGGATCCGGCAAAAATGACACATCAGCAATGCGTAAATCTCCACAGCCTACATAAAAAACATCAAGACACTCAAATATAATGTAAAAAAATTAGCTTAACTTGAGAAAAGCAATGCAAAGAGCGAAAAAACAAAAGAAACCAAAAAAGCTTAGACAACTAACCTGGAACATGGACCATACTTTTCTTATTGAGAGGAATTCCCCTCATGTACCCATACAAGCAAACAGAACGATCAACCTTGGGGTTCAATCGTATTTGTTCAGGTGGAGTGACATCTTCCATACGATCAGCTACAAATTTAAAAGATTAAACAGATCAAAAAGATTTAAAAAAATTTTCATGATTACATTATTTTAATTTTTTTTAAGAGCTACAAGATGTGCAAATTACCAACTAAGTATGGATGAGTGGAGCGCCACTGCAGTGGTCGAAACTTCATTACTGATATGAATCTTCCCAAATTCTTAACTTCAGTTCTTAAATATTGATCATGTATCTGTCCTGATAGGTAAAATAACTTGGCGCCAGCATAAACCTCAGTCCAAAATCTGTGTTTCAATTCTTTTTTGGTCCTCTTTAACTTGTCTGCTTTCTTTATCATATCTAAGTGAGTCAGTACACCCATTATTCTTGGCATACCGTGAACCTATTAAAAAAGTTTTAAAGTCAAAAAATGAGAGATTAAATAACCACATAAAAAATTGAATTTGGCTAGCACTGACAAACTTGATTACCTGGCAAATATTCAAGAATTCAAAGATTTCCATCTCAAACCCAAAAGAGGCATCTATCATCAGGAGAACTATATCAGCGACCTTTGCTAAGTCAATCATACAGTTTATATCATTGTTGCACTCCATAATTGTTAATCGACGCTTTTTCCCTTTGCAAGAAAAGTGTTAGATTAGAAAAACAGTGTGGGTTAACTTACAAAACTTCCGAATCAGACCTTATCGTACCAGAAACTATAGTGACAGGCCCTTTAATCTCTGAAAGTGGTTGACGTGTGAAGTTTCTTATGATAGCGTGGATCAATGTGGTCTTTCCCACTTTAGGGGGTCCCACTACAGCAATCATGACTGGTGGAGGTTGAAGTGGAGCTCGGTCAACCAATGGAATATGCTGCTTCTTGGTCTGAAGGTCCTGACCTCTGCAAGTAAAATATTTCTAAATGAGAAAGGTGAATAAAGATGAGAGGGAAGAAAGAGGCCACATGACCAGCTATCACGCATACCGTCTGAAGCGTCGTTCTGTTCTGAGGGTAGAGTTGAGAGCAAATGCCTTTGGATTTCGTTCCTTGTCAGGCCTATCACGAAATTTCACTTTACCATCCTCTGGTTTATCAACACCATTTCCCTTGGTCTTATTCTTCTTTTTCTCAGCTTTACGTCCTGCAAATTACGACATAAAATATCATGAATGGAGTGATCTTAGAACAATACCCACGACGTCAGGTAGAAAAATTACAGATAACTGAGACAATAAACGAATCATCACCTGCACGCCTCTCACGATGAGATTTCTTTTTATCATCTGGGATTCCGCCATCATCTTTTGCCATCTTAGTGCCACCCAAGTACTTGGATATTTGTTAGTCTCACAACACAACTTAACCTCGACAGGATGCAGTTGGCCAATAAAGAAATTTTGAATTTTAAATAACGATATTGTTACCGTTATCCTGTTCTCAAGTGAGACAAAAGGATGCCCGTCTCTAAGACACACAAATTAATGTCATTGTTGCGGTATATTCATGAAGTTACAGCCGGTAAATTGTGTGTTTTCACCCACATGGTCTGGATCACTTTGACTTCGACAACAAATGTGTTGCGGGGTTGGGGAAGGGAAGGGGAGGGTGGGGGGACAGTGGGACGAGGTATGAGAAATTAAGACTTTCAGAACAGAAAACTTTTCATAGTCATCATCATAAATCTGACCAATCAGAGACTACCTTGTGTCATATGCAGACGTACAAACCTGAATCTCACAAATATTTACTTATTCCTCATGACTTTATTTGATGCATGCCGTCTCTATTAGATTGTGTATTTTCTTTTAAAAAACATTAGTAGTACCAAACTTTTTCTAGGCCACAGTAAGATTTATTATTCATGTCAGATAACACCGAAACAAAGTGACACATTGGTGCCAAAGAGCGTGTCGTCTGTTATCCGGCCTGCTGCAAATAAACTTATCCATGTCAGAGACAAATTTCAGTCAGTAAACGAATGAATGACATGATAAGATCGCTCTTTTAACTGTTGAAATGTAAGTTTAGCGCTGTCTTTGCATGCTTCGGTATGGGAGCCAAACTATTGAACAGGTTTTGGTCCTTTTTGTCCGTAGCTATGACTTGCTCGTCAACTACTGTGTACCCGGCTGCTGTGATGTCTTTGTTAAATAGTCTCCAATTCCTCGTGTTGCCGTCCGAATTCTCTTAGAATGTTTAAATTCAGACCCTTTATTATTTTTTTTTATTCATTTACTTTTCTTTCTTGGTTGTAATCATTGTGTTTCCAGTGGAAACATAACCTACCCAATCTTTGCTTATTTTCTGGATATGAAGTTTTACGAATCTATTTGCACTCTAAGGAGAGACATGACACAATCCGGAGTGGCAATCAATCTCACCAATTCATTGAAATTTTGCTGGCTTACTGTTATTCTGCTTAATCGCTGAATCCGTCTCTTTTGGCAGATGACTGTAAATCTATGGGTAGTTGTCGCCTTGGCGGCTATCCTACCCAATGCTCTTCACACTGCTTCCCCAGCAAAGAAGCCCAAGTCTGTAACAACATTAATAAACTCAAAATGGGAGGCCACTCCTTTTGCTCTCGAGATTGCAGAGTACCTTGCAGAGGAGAATCGGGATAGTATGTGGAGCTATATAGATGAAGTCAGCTCTCTTTCAACACCATTGGTAGAACAGGGTATGTAACTATGATTTATTTCATGCTGCTCTTTTGCATTTCATTGTTTTAGTGAGGACTGTTCTAACAGTGTCTATTTTTTATCATAGGATCTGACCAAGTAGTTTATGACAAATCCCTTGCCATAGCTAGTCGCTTCATTTCAAACACTCAAATTCAGCTCATGAAGTTAGCCTTGTCACTTCATATATATGCTCCAAAGGTTGAAATGTACTCCCAGATGGCCCGGGAACATGGCCTTGTTGACAAAGGTTGTCCTTGTGCTGCCTTATTGAATGGGAAACTCCTTTGCCATTCATCAGAACTTGAAGCCGTGATTGCTAAAGAAACTGTCAATGTATGTTTGAATTGCTCTTTTTCTTTTCTCTTTTTATTATCAGCCAGTATCATTGTCACTCTTGTCAACTATGTAAATTTATTCACTCCCTTAGCCTTCAACCAACATAAAAAATGGTGAAACATACAGAGTTGACCACCATTATCCTGGTTCAGAAAATAGGAGCTTAGTGGTCATTTTGTATGGAGAAATAGGAACATCTGAATTTTCACAGTTCCACAAAGTCCTTAAAAACCAAGCAGTGGAAGGTAAAATAGGATATGTTTTAAGACATTATGTCAAGGTGAGTTAAAAGGGAGGAGACAGTGATTATAGAACTGTATTTTACTTTAGTAATAAATGTATAAAAGACTTGAGACTAAAATGTTCTTTCATGTTGTCAAATTTCGGATTTTTCTCTTGCATGACAGGAAAGGCCCAATCGGCGTCTACGTCTCTCAGGGTATGGAGTCGAATTGCAGATGAAATCAACAGAGTACAAAGCTCAAGATGACACTGAAGTTAAAGGAGGTTCTGAGGGAGAGTCTCAGGAAGAGAAAGAAGATGAAGAAATTGAAGGATTTAACTTTAATACCCTCAAGTATGTTAATTTAATCAGTTACACTTTGTTAAAAATTCTAGTCAGTCAGTTTGACACTTATCTCTTGATCCCTTCCAGAACTTTATACCCAGATAAAGTAGAAAATCTGGACAAGTTAAGACAAAACCTCCTTGAGTCAAGTAACGAGATGGCACCACTGAAAGCATGGCAGTTTCAAGAACTAAGTCTGCAAGCAGCAGAACGGATTATGAGCTCCCCTAGAGAGGAGGCCCTTCAAGTTCTCACTCACATTGCTCAGAATTTCCCTTTGCAGGTAACTTCAATCATGTGTTTTTAGTACTATCCTGTTAAAAGGTTACAATCTTTTCACATCTTTAATATATGTCTAGGCTCGCTCCCTTGTACGGACAGTGGTTAATCCAGAAATGAAGAAAGAGATGAAGCAAAATCAGGACCTGTTCTCCACTTCTTTGAACATTCAACCCCAAGATACTGCTATTTTCATAAATGGAATGTTCTTTGACCTTGATGTTGTTGATATGATCTCCCTTCTTGAAATTATTCGTCAAGAGCAGCGCCTCATGCAAGGACTCCATACCATTGGTATTGTATAAGCCCTCAAAAATTTGATTTTTGTGCCAATAGGGCAGTTTAATATTGATTTGCTTTCTTCTTTAGGTGTTTCAGACAAACGAATGAATGCTCTTATGGCATTAGATCTTTCATCTGGAACTGGAGGAACAACTGAATACGGAATTGACATCAGAGATTCGGCTGTCTTTTGGGCCAATGATATTGAAAATGATAAAGTGTATAAAAGGTGGCCAGTGTCATTGAGAGATCTTTTGAGGCCTACCTTCCCGGGGATGCTTCGAAGCATAAGAAGGAATCTCTTTAACCTTGTGATTATAGCTGATCCATCTAAGCTAGACTCCTTTCCAATATTGAAATTAGCAGAATCATTTATTCATCATCAATCACCACTACATATTGGTGTAGTACTTGCCACAACACCCGATTCTGAAGCAACAGGGTTTACGGATGCCAGTGTAGCCCTTTTAAATGGTTACAACTATGCTGTTGAAAATGGGTCTCCAAGTGATGGCCTCAGTTTTTTAACTGATGTTTATGCTGCCATCAAGACTGAAAATAGAAATGTGAAAGTTGCGGATGTTCACAAGAAATTAAAGGCAAAGTACAAGGGAGTTGACTTGGAAGATGTGTTCGGTCCTGAATCCGATTATAATACTGGCAGGAAGCTAGCAAGGGAGTTTGTGGATAGAAGTGGACTTCGCAAGCTACCCCAAGTACTCTTGAATGGAATTCCTTTGCCAGATAAGTCACTGACTGCTGATGACTTTGAAGAAGCAGTTCTCAGTGAGATCATGTCACAAACTCCGACCTTTCAGAAAGCTGTTTACAAAGGCGAGCTGCGAGACAGTGACAATGTGATTGACTTCATCATGGACAGGCCAAACATAATGCCAAGGCTGAATGAACGCATTTTGAATACAGAAAATACCCAGCAAATTGATCTAATGCGTACTGTTACCAGTGTGGAGGAGTCCATCTCTCCTGAAGTGTTTTCACTTCTGGGCACTTCTGATCAATCTGCACTGATGGTCTCAACCATTCGCTATTTCACTCCACGCAAACAAAGTAAAACATACTTCTTAACTAATTGGGTTGTGGCAGATTTGTCATCCAGTTGTAACAAAGGCAGAAATTTGCTACAGTCAGCTTTGAAACAAATGAAGAGCAGTGGCGTTGTGAGAGTAGGTCTTGTGGTAAATCCCAGTGGTTCCAGTGGAGACAATTTATTGAACAGAGTAGCTTTGGCAGCATTGAAAGTTCTGTCCCCTGAAGAAGCCACTAATTTCATGTTAAAACTGTTGGACAACAGTGATGTAATCAAACGCCTGTTAGCCGGTGAGAAGAAACTTGCAGATTTAAAATTAAGTGGTATTGATGTTGCTGCAATTGAAGCTACAGCTGATTCAAAACCAATTAGAGATACAATGGAGAGGCACTTAATGTATGCTGAGCGCACACTTGGCCTTAAACCAAGTCAATTGGCTGTTGTGAGCAACGGCCGTGTTCTGGGTGCATTTGAAGCTACGGAAGACTTCACTGTTGATGATTTCTCCCTTCTTGAGCGGCACAGCTATTCTACCCACATTGATAAAATTAAAGGCGCTCTCCAGCCTGCTAGTTCTGTGTCTTTCTTCAGTGAAGATGATGAGGAAGATGCAACAGAACTAACAAGTGACATTGCTATGAGAATTGTCAGTTTATTGATCTCACATCCTCAAAGCAGATCCCGCTTTGAGATTCCAACTTTTACCTCTGACCACAGTGTTATTGACATCCCAGCCTCTAAGCCTTCTGAACCAGCCCTTCGCATCGATGTCATAGTGGATCCAGTCTCTCGTGGAGCTCAGAGAATTGGACCTATTCTTCTCACATTGCAGACTGCACTTAACTGTCGCATCCGAGTTTTCTTAAACTCAGTTGAAAAAAATAGTGACATGCCTCTGAAGAGCTTTTACCGATTTGTTTTGGAACCTGAACTGCAGTTTACCTCTGAAGGGCAGTTAACTTTGGGTCCTATGGCTCGCTTCACAAATCTTCCAGAAGCACCCCTTCTCACTCAGAACCTACAGGTCCCTGAAAACTGGCTTGTTGAGTCTGTGACAAGTCCTTATGATCTTGATAACATAAGGCTTGAGGATGTAGTTGGCAATGTGCATAGGTGAGCAGTTTCTATTTTTGCCGATGGATTGTGTGAATGCTCTTTTAAGTTACCTATTTGATTGGTGTCTAACTTGTCCTTTTCCCTTACAGTGAATATGAGTTGGAATATCTACTATTGGAGGGTCACTGCTTTGAAGCCATGACAGGAAATCCCCCTCGCGGCCTTCAAATCACTCTTGAAACTGAAAATTCTCCAGTGAAAGTTGACACTATTGTGATGGCAAATTTGGGATATTTCCAGCTGAAAGCTAACCCAGGTGCTTGGGTTCTGAGATTACGACCAGGACGATCAGCTGATCTATTTGATATTGTCAGTCATGATGGGTCAGATACACCACCAAATTCAACTGATATCAAGGTTGTTATCAGTTCTTTCAGAAGTCATGTTCTTAAATTACGTGTTCAGAAGAAGCCTGACAAAATGAACATGGATTTGCTGTCTGAAGATGATGACGGCAACAATCCCGGTATTTGGAATTCCATCACAAGGTTGGTCTTTTAATGACTTGTCAAAATATATTTTATTTTTCTATTTATTTTCACATATTAACAAGTGAGTTTTTTTGTTTTTTTTACAGTACTTTTGGAAGTAACCAAAAACCAGGTGAAGAAGAACATGAAGAAAAGCTGAACATATTTTCTGTTGCATCGGGCCATCTATATGAACGGTTCCTACGTATCATGATGCTTAGTGTTCTAAAACAGACAAAAACTCCCGTGAAGTTTTGGTTCCTCAAAAATTATCTTTCTCCCACCTTCAAAGACTTTTTACCTCATATGGCGAGTGAATTTGGCTTTGAGTACGAACTTGTACAGTACAAGTGGCCAAGGTGGTTACATCAACAAACTGAAAAACAGCGAATCATTTGGGGTTATAAGATTTTGTTTTTGGATGTTCTGTTCCCTCTTGATGTTAAAAAGATCATATTTGTGGATGCTGACCAGGTAACTTAATGACTCTTTAACGTCCAACACAACAACCCTCTCCCATTTCCTCTATAAAAGTACATCCATGGACATATTTGATATTTTTCAGGTTGTACGTGCTGATTTGAAAGAACTTCATGATTTGGATCTTGGTGGTGCTCCATATGGCTACACTCCGTTTTGCGAAAGTCGTAAAGAGATGGATGGCTTTAGGTGAATATAACAAACTCTTCAATTCTGGCATCTTGTGAGAGTCCTTCTCTTAGCATAGCTTGACAAACTGCTTTTCCACCTGCACCACTAGGTTTTGGAAACAAGGCTATTGGAGAAGCCATTTACAAGGACGTCGTTACCACATCAGTGCCCTCTATGTGGTTGATTTGAAGCGATTCCGGCGCATTGCAGCTGGTGATCGTTTGAGGGGACAGTACCAAGCCCTTAGTCAGGACCCCAACAGTTTATCAAATTTGGACCAGGTTTGAACCTATTTTGCTATATTTTGAGTTGTAGATTTGTGTCTCGTCTTGTACTTCCCTATTGTCATTGTTATTAATCACTCATTATTTATAATTTGCTCTTTTCCCAGGATCTTCCAAATAACATGATCCACCAAGTGTCCATAAAATCACTTCCTCAGGAATGGCTCTGGTGTGAGACTTGGTGTGATGACAGTTCCAAACAGCATGCTAAAACTATTGATTTGGTATGAAGATATTTTTTTTGTAAAGTACTAAATGACCATGACTTTTTTCCATGATGATAATAATTTTCTTCCTTGTTTGCAGTGCAATAACCCACTGACAAAGGAAGCCAAACTAACTGCAGCCATGAGAATTTTACCAGAATGGAAGGGATATGATGATCAGATTAAAAAATTGCAGCAGAAAGTCCAAAGTGACTCACTAGAGGCGCATTCAGAATTTAGTCAGACACAGTCCAGTGACAAATCTCATACTGGTATAACTCATGCTTATTGTTGTAATTAATTAAAAGTACAGTACAGGATGGTTTCTAATGTTTTTAATTTCTTTCTTCAGGGAAACATCACACAGAGCTGTAATAGAGATCAGTAAATACTACTAAGTTGTAGTCCTAAGCTGTCTGGTATTCACATCCAACTAATGCAGAAGAGATGAAGAGATTAAGTTTTCTGGTAAATTGAGGGCAATCACACTATTCTCTAGTGTTCAGAATATGGACTCTATGATTTTATATGTGTTTTTGTATATTCTGTAGATATATAGCTGTTTTTCATTGACTGCTGTTTGAGTTTTTTCTGCTCATACCATATTGTATTCCATGCAACTATGAAACTAATAGGATAATTGTATAAGTATGTTAAATATCTGTTGAGTTGTGTAATGTCGATGTGCAAGGAAAATGAAGATCTCTTAAATGTATTGTTTGGTCAGTGCTTTAAAAGTAGTCAGTTTCCTTAACAATGGTTTGTTTCATATTTCCAAACACCTGACAAGTAGACCCTCTATGTATGTTCAATTGGTATGCGATTACATGTCTTGTCTTTATAATTTGTTTCAATTCTTGTCAGCCAGATTGCGTTTTTTGTTTCTTTTACTGGATATCTCCACTATTTGAATCTGCATGTACCCAATGTAAATGCAGCTCCTGATGTGAGTGCCATTCATAGGATGTGAACTTATCGTGATATTTGTGGTGTATCAATCTTGTCATCGTTTGTAAAAAAATATGTGAGCAAGTTGAGCACCTAGTAATTAAGAAGTGGATTTTTCCCCCTTAGAAGTATCAATGTTGCCACTAATTCTGTTGGTATCTGGTGCAAACATGCCTCAAAATGTGCTCAAATTGGCAGACAGCAATGTAGTACTTGTGTAATTTCATCACACCACTGATGAAAAAAATAAATTGAAATGTGCATTGCTTTTGTTATTACTGCACTGCACTTATAAAACTTGTTGAAACATTTTCTACTCTTATTTTTGATTGCTTAATTTATTACTGTATTGGAAAATCAGAGTGTTGAAGATATGGGGCATGTCTTTCTGCAATATTTTGACATTTTGTCTTTGCTCTCACTCTTCCATCTGCTATCTATGATGATTGACAGAATTTTTCAGAATTTTTTGTGGTGTTGTGGAGAACCTAAATTGAATTATTCATAGGTTGTAATTTATTTTCTTACCTACAGGATATTTTTAATGTGATGCACTTAATTTTATCTGCAGGAGAACTGTGCCTGATTATTTGTGATACATTTTAATTTACACTAGTGTCATGGTATGGGATTTTGAGGACAATGGTTATATGCCAGTCTGACTGCAGGGATGCAAACGAGTGTATCTCCCATTGTGATTTATGTGAATAAAAAGGAGAACGAACGCTGCAGTACTTCATTTCCCCTGAAACTGGCTTTTCACCTTGACCCACAAAATGAAAATTCAAATCAAAAAGTCTATTCGACGCTCGAACAAAAGAGCCGTAAGAACGCAGATTGATGATAAGAGTGACAAGTACAGTCGGAGTGCTGCCTTACTGCAACCCGGCGTCCGTCCAGCCGGATCGGTCCCGAAGCAGTCCCCTCTCTCGGCCGAGGCAGAGGCAATCGGAATCGGGTTTCCAGTCCGGAGACTCCAGGCCCTGGCTGGACTCCAGCTCCAGCGGCCGGGGATCACAACACACCCGGCCCCGGACAGTGCACAGCGCAACCTCTGGACCCGACCCTGGGCTACCCTGGGCCGAGCTGAGCGTGGTCGCGACACCGTCTCGGGCACAGCAACCAGTGTAACTTTGTCGCGGAGCAAGTCGCCGAGTGCCGCGTGGTGGGGCGGGCCGGGGCATGGCTCGGTCCAGCCAGCCCCGGCCGTGCTAGTGCGGAGTGCGCGTGCTTCGGCGCACGCCAAGTCCAGCGGCGTGCCGCGTGCCCCGCAGTGCCCCGTGAGATGGTCGGGTGACCCAGTGCCTCAGTCCCTGCGTGCGTGCGTGCGCGCGCGGGTCCGCGTCACCGCGTCCGCCACCATGCGCGCCGACGCCGAGGTGCAGTCGTCTGGACGTGCGTCCCCCAGGACCCGGCGGCCGCCCCGAGTCCAGCCGTCGACGCCGCGTTACTGGGCAAGTGCGGCGTCTGCTCCTGTTGTGTTTCATGCAGTGCATCGTCTCCTCCGCGCGTGCCGGTTGTGGGCGCCGGCGCGCCGCCCTGCTTGCCGTCGTGGCGGCGGAGGCCGAGTTTGATGGGTGCCAATCAGGAGGCCAATGGGATCCGCCCCGCGGCGCTGACGTCACGCTCGCCGCCGCGGGGCTCCGCGCACTGCGCGGGCCGCCTGGAGGGCCTGCAGGCCAGGTGCTTGGCCGGGGCCGCGCTGCAGCGATGCAGCGATGCACGGATGCTCAAGGGTGTCATTTTCGCGTCCGGCAAAGCCACAAGCCAGCGTCCGCCAGCATCCCGGAGCTAGAATGCGGCAGGGCGGCACCAAGCCCGTCTGGGGAATGCCAGCAGAGAGCACTCTTCGTCGTGGACACCGATAAAGCAGCAGCCTTTTCCTCCAAGTGCGCCTGGAAAGTGGAGAGAGAGAGATATCGAGGAGAACAGCGGGGGGAGGGCCCACTCTCATTGGTGTGGTGGGAGGTTTGATAAGGAGGCTTCAGGCTTTGTGTTGTGCTCTTCCGGGCGGGTTCGTCGGACTGGGAGGCTGGCGGACAGGGACGTCGCTGTCGGTGCTTGTCGAGCCACACGGCCGGCGCCGGCCTGCGCCCCGCGCCGAGCCGCGCCGAGCCGCCCGCTAGTTTTCTCCTCATAACCGCCAAATTATTTATGCATGTCGCTTGTGTATGTCCCGGGCGGGGAGCGCCGCCGCCGCGCACGCCGCGCACGCCGCGCCTCGAACGAGAGGTGCGGTCCAGACCCAAACGCCCCGATCTTGAGAGTGAAAGTTGCGTTGTCGCGCTGTGCATCACACCATCGCACCATCGCACCGGCCGTGGGCGGCCACGGAGCGGTACGGGGGGCAAGCAGCGCCGAACAAAAAACAAAAACAAAAAAAAGTACCAAAGGCGACATTCGAACGCGCCTTGACGTCATCGAGACCGACGGGGCGTCTGCGGACAGACTGGACTGGCTCGGTTTGTCGGTCTGTCTCTCTCGCACCCTTATGGAGAGTCCCACGGGTGCGACAGAGACAGAGCGACGAAACGACTCGGCTGGCGCGTCAGGCAGCTAGGCGTCTGGAGCGCCTGAAGCGCCTGGCGAAGGCGGATAGGCAAGCCCGCAACACTCCGCTGCCGCGCGGGCCAGCCTATGCCGAGACCCGCGGGCGCCCGCCCTGTCACACTGTCACACGCTGTAGTACTAGACTTGGAACGCTTCCAGGACAGGTAACCGCGGTTTGATTGGTTTACTTTCGTTTTCAGCACAGCCTGTATGTGTGTATGTGTAAGTGTGTCTAAAAAGAGGGAGGGAGAACTAGACGAGCGGAAGTGAGTCCAGAGCGTGCGATGAAACGGCGAATTCGTCATTTGCCATCTGAACTAAAGCAACAACAAAACGACACCTTGACATCCATGCAGGTGGTGCTGGGTGCTGTGGCGGTGCTCGTCACCACGGCCACCACGGCCTCGGCTCTGAGCACGGTGTCGGCGCCGGGCGCACCGCCCTCTGCCTCTGACCGGCCACCGGCCTCGGCGTCGAAGACCTCGGCGTCGACGACTTCGAGGCCCACGACGACGACGTCCTCGTCGTCCACACCTTCGGGGTCCACGACCTCCGCCACCGTGAGCCCCAACGCCGTGAACAAGGACCGACGCTCCAGGCCGATGCCGATATCGAAAGCGAAGCCACACATCGTATTCGTCCTCGCCGACGACCTGGTGAGCGACCTTGGACTTGGAGGCCGCGGCACTGTGAGCCCGGAAGCACACCGCTAATTTGGGATGTCGTCTTGCAGGGCTGGAACGACGTGGGCTTCCACGGCTCCAGCCAAATCCCGACGCCCAACATCGACGCGCTGGCGTACTCGGGCCTCATCCTCAACAACTACTACGTGACGCCCATCTGCACGCCGACGCGGGCGGCGCTCATGACGGGGAAGTACCCCATCCACACCGGTGCGTGCCGCACTGCCGCCCTGCCGCCGTGCCGGGGACAGTGTGACACGGCGTCTCGAACTCTGGCCCGCGGAAGGAACTCGAACAAGGAAGCCACTGATTGCCACTCGTTCCTCGCAGGCATGCAGCACACCGTGCTGTTCGGCGCCGAGCCCCGCGGCCTGCCGCTGTCCGAGGTGCTGCTGCCCGAGTACCTGCGCGCCCAGGGCTACGACTGCCGCATCGTGGGCAAGTGGCACCTGGGCCACTACCGTCGCGAGTACACGCCCACCAGGAGGGGCTTCCGGTCGCACCTCGGGCCCTGGACCGGCCACCACGACTACTTCGACCACACCGCCGTGGAGAGGGTGCGGCCTGCGGCCTGGCCTAGCCCGGCCTAGCGCGCATACTTGTAGACTGAGAGCCGTTCTAGTCGCTCTGTCTCTCTCACACCTATACCGGACGCCGCACGAGTGCGAGAGAGATGGCGCGACGCCCTGCAGTTCTAACCGCCGTCCTCGCGTTCGCTTGCCCTGCAGCCGTACTGGGGCATGGACATGCGCCGCGACCTGCGGCCTGCCTGGGACCTGCACGGCCGCTACTCCACCGACGTGTTCACGGAGGAGGCGGAGCACATCGTGTCGACGCACAACGCGTCCACGCCGCTGTTCCTGTACCTGGCGCACGTGGCGCCGCACTCGGGCAACCCGTACAACCCGCTGCCCGCGCACGACAAGGACGTGGCCAAGCACGACGCCATCCCGGACTACAACCGGCGGCGCTACGCGGGCAAGAACCCTTTCCTCATTCTCTTCCTCCCCTTTCTGTTTCGAGGTTTTTCACTTTGCCAGTTCCACAGTGTACTCGGCATGGAGATAAATGTAATTGGGCTTCCCGGCCGCAGCGATGGTGAGCCGCGTGGACGAGTCGGTGGGCCGCGTGGTGGAGGCGCTGCGCCGCCGGAACATGCTGCGCAACTCCATCATCGTCTTCAGCACGGACAACGGCGGCCCGGCGGAGGGCTTCAACCTCAACGCCGCGTCCAACTGGCCTCTGCGTGGGGCAAGTCCACACCTCCGTTTGTTCATTTTCATCTGTTTGAAAGGTCGGTGTTTGAACCCGCGCCCTTCCCTTCCGCTTGCAGGTGAAGCACACGCTGTGGGAGGGCGGCGTGCGCGGCGCGGCGCTGCTCTGGTCGCCGCTGCTGGCGCGGCCTGGCCGCGTCTCCCGTCAGCTCATGCACGTCACCGACTGGCTGCCCACACTGTACCGCGCGGCGGGGGGAGACCCCGGGTGAGCCCCACTCCACCCCATCCACCCGCCGTGCTTTCGTCGCTCCATCTCTCTCGCTCTCCCGTGGGACGCAGGGAGAGTGCGAGCGAGACAGCGACGAAAGCACTGTCCGTCCCTATGCTGCCCTGCATCGCCGCCCCGCTTGACGTACTTTTTGAACGCAGTGCCCTGGCCGGCCTGGACGGAATGGACGTGTGGGACGCGCTGTCCTTCGACCTGGACTCCAACAGGACGAGCGTGCTGCACAACATCGACGACATCTACGGCGTCGCCGCCATCACCATGGCGCCGTGGAAGATAGTCTCGGGTAGGCGAAGTACGATCTGGGGAGTGCTGGCGTGCTGGTGCCGGTGGTAACCAAGGTGGTGACGGACTCTGCCTACAGGCGCCACCTACAACGGCACCTGGGACGGCTGGTACGGCCCTTCCGGCCGCGACGACCCCTCTCCGCGGCCCTACGACGCGTCCGCCGTGATGGCCAGCAGCGCGGGCAAGGCGGCGGCCTCGGTGGGCCTGGGCCTCACCGCGGACCAGGTGATGAGCCTGCGCGAGCTGGCCGAGGTGCAGTGCGGCGCCGAGGAGGCCCCCGACGGCCCCGACGCCGCGTGCACCCCGCTGCAGGCGCCCTGCCTCTTCAACGTGGCCACGGACCCGTGCGAGCGACGGAACCTGGCGCACAGGTAGCGCACCGCCTCCTAAAGAGCTAAAAACGCGTCCGCGATTTTGACCGCCTCCGCCGGTCTTCTGACCCACTGTGCACCGCCCCGCCGCGTCCTCCATCGACCCTTTGTACGACGCGATTTCTTTCTGATACAGGTTCCCGGCGGTCCTGCAGCACATGATGCAGGTCCTGCGCGAGGTGAACGCGACCGCCGTGCCGCCGGGCAACCTCCCCTGGGACCCCAAGGCGGACCCGCAGCTCTGGGACCACACCTGGACCAACTTCGGCGACGTCGAGTCCCGGGCACAGCCGGAGTCCCGCATCGTTGTGCAGTAGGACCTAAAGGACGCGTACTTACACAGACAGCGGTTCTCATCCATAAGTCACTCATGTCATTCATCTTGCTCTGCCTCTTTCGAAAAAATAATAAACCATTGGCTGTGATTGGGTGTAACATCATTTAGGGCCTTATACCCTTATTCTAAATCCACCAAACCATTCACCCTGCTTATGAAACTATCAAGTGAAAACAATGGCGCGGGCCAGGTCTGAATTGGCTCCATCAAAGCGGGAAAACAAATTGTGAGTGGCGCGCGAAAACTAGCGCGGGGTGCGGCGTGGTGCGGTCGGGTGGGTGGGGGCGTGCCAGTCCGGCCTGGCCCGGGTCACGACGGTGACGGGCAGGCAGGGCAGGCAGGGCAGGCAGGGCCCAGGCTGACCGGCCAGTCGTCACTCCACCGTCGAGCCACCATTGGCCACCATGAAGGTCCTGCTCGTCCTCGTCGTGTGCGTCCTGGCTGTCCGTGCCCACGAGGTAGCCTAAACGATTAGAGAAACCAGTGCGAAACAAATGTAGACCTGTCTGAATTCCATGTTGTTGTTGTTTTGGTCGCGTAGCCGAGCTTCGCGGAGATCACGAGTGGATGTGCGGACGCCGTGCGCATCGACGAGAGCAGGCGCCTGGTCTTCATGCTCTCCCAGCCCTTCATCGACTTTTTCGTGAGTATCACCGTTTTGGCTCACCTACGTCAGTATCAAATCTCAGATTGAGGAAGGAACGGAGACCGGTCGATGTCGTGGAGAGTAAGACGGTTCCGCTCTCTTATTTTTGCTTTACTAGTGTGGCTAACAATGTCGTTGTGCTTTGTCCTCCCTCCAGAAAACCCTGATCTGCTTCTTCCGGCCCGTGGACGTGGTCAGTGCATCACACGCATGCTTTCCGTACGCCGTTCGCTGTGTCCTCTTCGCGCTCAGACCTCCCCGTTGCGGCGTTGCAGGTGCACCACGACGACAAGCTCCTCGAGCACCCCCTCCGCGACCTCATCCTCCGGACGGCCTGGCAGGAGCGCGAGGAGTACAAGGACGCCAAGGGTCTGGAGCACACCATGGAGCACACCATGGAGCAGGGCTCCTCCAAGGCGGACATCATCGCCCGAATCTGTGTGAAGGAGGGTAAGGGAGTGTCACTTGGCTGGGTCCGGGGGCTCTTGTCTCACGTTAAAATTCTTCTTCGTTTTTGGACCAACAGCGAATACCATCATCGCGCAGGACCTAAATGAGGCAGTGATCAGGCTCGCGAGGTGCCTCGAGCGCTATGGTTCGTATCCCCACTACGAACAGGTTGAAAATTGGATAATTGCAGTGAGCCTCCGTGCCTACATCGTGTTGTCGTACGTTTGTTCAAAGATGTCGCTCTGTCGTCCGACGACATGTCCTCTGGCGCGCCCTCTCTGATGTGATGAACGGAGCTGTCGCATCGGCAGGCTCTGGACGGCAGCCGGCCAGCCAGCCGGCCAGCCAGCCAGCCAGCCGGCCCGTGCCGCACCGCCGCGCGTTGGGTTGCCTGCCGGCCAGGCGGACTGCGGCGGACTGCGGCCTTTGCGCGAAACAACGCCGTCTTGCTGTCCTAGTATTGACACGGTAAATATCCTGGGGCGCGCCATCGAAATGTAAGCTTACTTTGTAAACACCGACCTCGACTAAGGTGACGTCTCTAAAATCATCCTCTGTTTGAATACCGGAAAAAATCACAACGGTAGCGGCATTTGGCCCATTTGACTCGCATCTTGTCCTGCCCGTGCACTGTTATTAAGACGTCCCAGAAACGCCGAAAGTACTGCTGAAAATAAAAAAGAAAATCGCGGTTCATAAGTGCACGGCGTCTTCCCAATTAAGTTTTACAACAACAAAGCATTCGCCATCACAATGCGTTACGTGACTTGTGTGTACCATCAAGTACAATATGATCAGCAGAATAAATTATTTTTATAAAACAACATACAAACAGAAAATTATTTTGCTTCCCGCAACCTTTCTACATGTGTTCTCCGCCCTGTGGGTACATAGAGGACACTAATCTCTGACTGCCGAGAACCCACTGCGATGCGCCATGCGTTCAAGTTACTCGACTCTTGGTGCGCGGCGCCCGGCGCCTCGTGTGTTCGTCGCAGCGCGAGTCGTGGCGAAGACGAAAAAAGTGTCGATTTTCATCTCAAGAAGCTCGGCGATAAGAGGGCCTCCGCTACCCCCTCCATGACCTTGCCTCCGCGGCGCTTCGCGGGCCTGCGGGCCTGCAAGAGAACCAAGAGAACGACGCAGGAAAACAATAAGGTTCGCTAATGACGCAACGCGCGATGTTGCCTACCTATCGGCGCGTCGATCGTAACCGAGCAGACTGATTCCGAGAGTCGTTTTCGTCGCTCTGTCCCTCTCGCACTCCTGGGGCGTGCCGTTTAGGTGCGAGAGAGACAGAGCGACGAAGACGACTCTCGGAATGAGTCTGCAGCGGGCCCACTGTGCGCGTCCCCGCCGCCTCCCTTCCGCCCGCCTGCCGGATCGGTGCCCTGGCGCCCTGGCCATCGGTGCCTCGGCAAGCCTTGGCGCCTTGGCAATGCAGGCGGGTGGGGCGCCACGCGGGCGGTGGGTCCTGGTGGGTCCTGGTGGGTCCCTAGTCCCTCGGCTAGACACTCGGTCTCCGGCACCGCGTCGTCTGCAGACCCTGCAGTCGCCGCCAGCCACCTGCACGGCGCGCGCACCTTCGTCGAGCACCTGGAGCACATCGAGCTCCTCGAGTACCTGGAGCACCCCGACAACGAAGCGGCGGCGCCATGAAGAACCAGAGGCTCCTAGGTTAGTGGCAAGACTGCCGATCGGATAGGCCGTTGAGTTTCCTGCGATAGGCCAACTGCAGAGTGATTCCGAGAGTGGCTTTCGTCGCTCTGTCTCTCTCGCTCCCATGCGGGACGCCACACGAGTGCGAGAGAGGCAGAAGCGACGAAAACGACTCTCTGAATCAGCTTGCCGAGGGGTGCGCTCTTTGCATCCCGTTGCCTCACCAACCCCCCTCACCGCGTGCTGCACTCACGATCACGGCAGTCCCGACGCAGTGCGCTGTTAGACACCGCGGCGACACGCAACACGCGTGACCCGCACGTCCGCGGACTGACTCCGAGCACGCCTTGAGTCGCCCCGTCTCTCTTGCACTCATGGAGCTGCCCGGAGGGGTGCGAGAGAGACGAAGTAGTCCTCGCAGTCCAGTGCCAAGCCAGGGTGCAGCCGTCCCGAGGACACGCGGACGCCGCGGACACCCTGTGGAGCCTGCATCGCCTGCATGCGTCAATCACAATAGCAGTGCCCAGTGGAAGGACAAGGACACATCAGCCTTCCCTCACTGCCAATGGACAGCATCCGGTACAGTGCGGTGCAGAGGAGCCGGCCGCCCCGGCCGTGCGCCTGCGCCACCGTTGTATACTCCAATTGGCTGCTCCTGGCTCAAGCCGCTCAAGCCGCTCAAGCGCTGTGGTCGCGGGGGTTGGCTTGGCGTGGCTTGGCTTGGCTCCGGAACGAAGCTCACCGAGGCAGGCATCCGCATCTTGCAGGGAAATCATACAAAAATGCATTTTTCAACTATTTTGTTCTTTAATGAAGTGTCTGACCTATCCCCTCAGCAACAATCCACCAAGTCCACCCGAGTCTTTCGTTCAAGCGTACGGAAGGCGGAAGTAATGAGCACATCCATTTTTGCGACTTAGTTTTTCAGCTTCGTGAGAAGTCTCTGCGAACCGATTGTTGTGTTGTGACGCTGGCGACACTGCGCACGCGCCGCGCTGATTCGAAGGATCGCTGTCTCTCTCGCACTCCTACGGGAGGCCCTGAGAGTGCGAGCGAGACAGAGGGACGATGCTTCGGCGCGAGGCGGCAGGGGGCGTGTCCCCGCACCTTGCCCGCGCCGCGTAGTGCCGCGCGCCCTACGCGTCCACGCCGCGCACGCATTCCGCGCACGCCGCCGACACGCCGCGGCCCGGGAAGGCGTTTCGGCGCGGCCGGTGGCGCGCTCGTGCGCCACCGAGCATCGAGCATCGAGCGCGCAAGTTTTCCGTTCGCTGCCGTTGCCGTTTTTTGCGCTTCCCGCGCGATGATCCTCGCGCCTATTAGGCCCAACCAGTGTTTAGTGCCGGGGCTGCCGGGGCGCCGGGGCTGCCAAGCCTGCCTGCCTGGGTCCCGCGACGCTCCGTCACGCGTCGCGACGTGCCTGGCGGCCTGGCAGTCTGGCACACTGCAGCCTGATTCCGAGAGCCGTCTTCGTCGCTCTGTCTCTCTCGCACTCATGGGGCGTCCCGTGTTGGTGCGAGAGAGACAGAGCGACGAAAGCGACTCTCGGAATGAGTGTCCTGGCAAAGGTCGGCCCGGGTCGCCCGTGTTCGAACACGGCGCGACCGCGGCCCGGTAAGTTACGGCGTAACGCCCATCTGGTGGAAGGAAGTACAGCCGCGGCGTCGCTCTGTCCCTCTCGCACTCGAGGGCCGTTCCACAGGGGTGCGAGAGAGACAGCGACGAGCGAGCCACTCTTTCCGAGTCACGCGGCTGGATAGGCTTGCGCCCCACCCCGCCCGTGCCGATGCGGAGCAGAAGCCCAGGACGTCTAGGACGTCCAGGACGGGCAGGCTGGGGAAGGCTGGGGGTCAACATGTAACGTGCATCACAATGGCTGCCGTCCGCGCCGTGGCCGGCACCGACTCCCCTCCCCCTTCCCCTCGCACCCACGCCGCCTCGCCTCGCCTTGTCGCAGCAAACGTTTTCCCAAAATAAAACCCGTTGCGCGGACGCGGGCACGCGGGCGCGGACGGATGGCAGGGACCCGTCTCAGCCTCCAGCCGAAGACGCGGGGCGCCGCGACGCGCGAAGCACGGCGAAGCACCGCGGAGAAAGCTAGGCGTGTGGTCCCCGCATGTGTGCTGCGCGCCGCCGCGACTGCGCGTGCCAACAGAAACAATGTGACAAGTCGAGGTAATCTGCATCGCCCGATTCAGCCAATCCATCTCGTTTGAGCCGCTTAAGGCTTGCGCGCGCTAGCTAGAGGTTTGGCCGCCTCCACCGGTCTTCTGGCCCACTGTGCCCCCGTGCGCTGGTGAGGCAGGCCGCGGACGCCTAGACGGACGCCGTGGACTTCCCTGCCTCGCGTCTCCGCAGGTCGCCGCTCTGTCTCTCTCGCACGCACTGTCTCTCTGCCGTCCAGGCGCGGCGCGAGAGAGACAGAGTGACGAAACGCCGTCGCTCGGAATCTGGTCCAGGCGTCAGTCAGTTGGGCGCGAGCAGCAGAGCAGGCTGGGAGGACGATTAATAACAATTACAGTCACAATGGAAAGGCAATGCGACTGCGTCGCCGCGCGGCTTCGCGTTTCGCAATGGTAGCAGCATTGCGGCAGGGCCTGACGGACGGGCTGTCAGTCTGCAACGAGAGCCATCCGGCTGGAAGTGACGAGACGATCCAGTGACGAAACGAAACACGCGTAATGAAGGGGTCCTGATGACCTGCGCCAAGCGCGCCAAGCGCGGCCAAGCGCCAACAAAAGAAAGGCTGCAGCAGCACAAGCTGGAATGTCTGCTTTCCCTGCGCACTCATTTCGAGAGTCGTATTCGTCGCTCTGTCTCTCTCGCACCCGTACGGAACGCCCCATGAGTGCGACGGAGACAGAGCGAGGGACCGATTTTTCGGAACCAGACCGGTGGGCTCAGCTTTGAGAGTGTCTGTCGGTGTCGTGTTGTGGGAGGGAAAAGGCGCCAAACGACGGACTCTTGCTTGTTGCAGAGAACAAGGTGAAGGCCATGCAGCACCCGACGGAGGAGGAGGCGTCCCGCATCCTGGCTGCGTACGGCATCACGAAGGCGGGCCTGGCCAGGGACGTGGCCAACATCAGGGCGTGGCTGGAGAAGCAGCCGCACCTCCCGGCAGACGACATCGGTATGGCTGCCGCGGCCGGCAGACTCATTCCGAGAGTCGTTTCCGTCGCTCTGTCTCTCTCGCACTCATGGAGCGTCCCGTGTTGGTGTGAGAGAGGCAGAGCGACGAAAGCGACTCTCGGAATCGTTCATGCAGGGCCCGTTGGCTTTTCGTTTCCCTGCTCCGTGCGTGGGAGGGGAGAGGGCAGGCCAGCGCCTCGGAGTGTTTGACTTTGACTGGGCGCAAGTCAAAACAGCAAACTTTTTATTTTTAGTTGCACGGTAGAAACGGTACCTGGGTTTGCCAGCAGGAACCCTATGGTAGAGACATAGGTGATTTCCAGGAAGTTCCTGGAATAAAGACCAGGAACCGTTTTTACCGAGTGACACTGTGCAAGTTCAAGTTTGGATTTGGTTTTTGGTTTGCAGACGACGTGGTCATCGAGCGGCTCCTCGTGCGCTGCAAGAACTCGGTGGTGATGGCGCAGTGCCGCCTGGACGACATGTACACCGTGCGCTCCGACCTGCCGGAGTTCTACACGGACCGAGACCCGCTCGCGCCGCGGCTGCAGCAGCTCTTTCGCGTCGTGTGAGGAACGCTCATGCTTCGCGCTCAGCACAAAAGTCGCCTTTCGAGGCGCCGGGAAACCGCTTATCCATGCCGGATTTATTTTTTTACTTGAGGAATAATGATTCTCAAAAAGTACCCGCGTCTACCAAATACCGTGGGGGCATTGTAGTGTGTGCATTTGAATGAACCCTGAAAAAAAAGCGTGAGTCCACACTTAATGTGTCAAAGCCGCTGATGGATCACCTCTCGATTCAAACGAACATTAAAGTCCAAGTCTCCAATCCGTCTCTCTCTGGCACAGCCAACTGCTAGCCTCGCCAGTGTGGCTAGACAATTAGTAACGTTGCCTGGCCCTACGTTGCCCCTTGCTATCTGCGGGCAAGTGCGGATCTAGAAAAAGGGAGGAGGGGGGAATAAAAGGATCCCCCATCATTCAGCGGCCCGAAAGACAGACAAAAGTTGTCTGTGCCCCTTCCCTCCATGCCACGCAAAAAGTGCTATCTCCCCTTGTAGGGCAGCCCCTGGATCCGCCACTGCCTGCGGGTCGATGCCGGACGGTGCTCCGTCGCTGTCTCTCTCGCCTCCCTGTAATCACATGAGTGCGAGAGAGGCAGAGCCGGCAGGGCGGCCAAGGCACCGTTCGGAACCAGGCTGGTGTACGACGTTCCGTTCCCTTGGGTTCCAGCGGCCTGTGCGTCATGCCCCGACTGACGAGCGACCTGCACCGCGTGTCTCTGATCCGCCTCCGCGACACCGCCGTCGAGAACTTCAGCGTGGAGCTGCTCATCAAGCTGACGTTCATGGGGCAGGACGTGGTGATCCGAGAGCCCCCCACCATGGGGGACTGCCTCATCTTCGACGCCAGGGGCTACGAGCTGGCGCACGCCTCGGGAGCGAGCCCGCTCTTCATCCGGAAGGCCGTCTCGCACGTCAGGGTACTGTACAGTGTACACACCACACACCACTCCAGACAAAAAGACCCTGTCGGTATGCCCGCCGCCCCCTATGGGTCTTGGGGAAAAAACGCTGCCTTCCAGACTAATTCCGAGAGTCGTTTTCGTCGCTCTGTCTCTCTCACACTCATGGGGCTTCCCCCATAAGTGAGAGAGAGACAGATCGACGAAAACGACTCTCGGAATCAGTCTACAGGCCGGCCGCACCTGTGTCGCCCCCCCCCCCCCCCCCGCTCGGCTGGTGTCTTCTCAGGGGCAGGTAGGCCACCCTCCTCGGGCTTCTGTGTTGGCGGCCATGCCGGTTGCCTACCAGCCAGGCGCCGTCAGCAGAACTTGAACTCTAAGAGGCCGCCCCAGCAAAGCACGATCAAGCAACCTTTCCCTATTTCGTGATTCTTTTTTTTTGTCTTGTACGCTAACAAATGACTTGCTGTTTCTAGCGAACGTACCCAGCGCGTGTGGCAGGGATCCACGTTTTGTTCCCTCCCGTGTTCGCGGGCAGGATCATCAACATTGTCAAATCCTTTCTTCCGGATAAAATAGCCAGCAGGGTAAAGCCAAAATAACATGCAATATTTCAAGTTGAATTAAGTTTATTTTTGCTGATTCCATTCAATAAACCGTCTCTGTTCTGTGCAGATCTACACTCACGACAGCTTTGATAGCCTCTTGGAACATGTACCTCAGGATGTGTTGCCATCTGACTACGGCGGCCAGGAGCGGTCATCTGATGAACTATGTGGTAGGTGAAGTGAGGATGCTAAAGAATTTACTTAAACACTCCATTCCAAAAGATATCTATGATAGAATTAATTAACCGATCTGAGTATTAAAAAGTTTGTGCGTTGACATTGCAGAGTTGTGGCAGGAGAAGTTAGTGAGTTACCGTGAGTACTTTCTCAGCACAGAGAAGGTTCGATCAAACGAAGTATTAAGGCAAGAAAAGCGCAAGGACAATTCCATCAGCAGCAGCCTTGATGGATCATTCAGAAAGTTAGATATTGACTGACTATATGAAAAGTTTATGATATGTCTATGGTGTATTTTAAGACATTATTGTAAGGCAGATTCAGATAAAGGAATTTTGAAGAGAATAAATTAACAGTTGCTAGGTTATGTAAGTTTCAATCCATGTCACATTTGTAAAGGCATATCATTTATGAAAGTGGGGAGGAGAATGAAGAGCCCCAAAGTTAAGGACAAAGTTACTTGAGGAATTTGTGCTAGTGTTAAACTTTAGGTGTAAGTTACCTATTTCATAAATAAAAGCTGTGCACCAATTTTGAAGTTATTAAGAATCATTGAGTTTAAACTCAGGATCCCTTAGTGAAATATTTAAGAAATGACACATTCAAACTAATTGCAAACTAAACAGATTTATTTGATGAGTGCATATGAAAATTACACAATGATCCATCCACATCAATTGATTTTAAGAGACAAATAATAGGAACATAAAACAAAAGAGTGTATCTGCCTTAATCGAGACGCCATGCATGTAAGTGAAATATTAGCGGTCACATCGAACAAATAATCTGACCAATGTTAGACAAGTATAAAATTAATGCAATAAAAAAGAAACAAAGCAATAAAAAATTAAGCCTCTCCCATGCCTTCAATCTCCTTCAGCTGGGAAAGAAGACTTTCACAGTAACTCTTGTGATCAATCTTCTTTACGGAGTAGACATTTGTTTTCAGCCGGGTCTCATCCTGTAAATGAGACAGAATATAATTAGCAAGTTGTCAGGGTGTAGTATACAAGAATATGGAAAAGGCATTAAAATATACTATTCTTACGTTGTAAGCCTGAAGTTGAACACGCATTCTAAACACATATGATTTAAAGGTAGCTTGTTGGAAAATCTGCTGATATGCTTCAGGATTACTAGTCTTCAACTCATCTAAGCTTGCAGATGTTTGCCCAAGAACTTCTTCAGCTTGTTCTTGGAAAAGGGTTACCCAAGTGTTGTCTGACCAGTCACCAACATTCATCTGAACATAAAAATAAAGGACTTTGAAATTTGCATCAAGTATGTTACATACAAGGAGTAGAAAGATTGATATAGAAAAATGCAATACCGAAAGCAAGAGACGAGGCTTGTAATTAGGGTAGTCTCTGTTGCATTTCTCGCAGCGGTAGAGACCATTTTGCTGATCAATGACCTATTAAAGAAAGTACACATAATAGTAGATTAATTAATATGCTGCAAAGAATTAGATTAAATTGAAAGAGAATGTTTCCCTCTAAAAAGTTTGTATACCTTCTTGTTGCAGTTTTCTCCAGGACAAGCATTGTACATGGCATTTTCACTTTTAATCATAACAATAGAGGCTTTTGTGGAATAGTACTCAGTTTTGCCACCACTACCCAGCCCTTTGTCACGAGCTTCCTTAATTGTAATTAGATCAGCTGTCAACAAATAGTGGCAAATAAGAATCATTTTTTTACAGACAAGTACATTAAGAAACTCCAAATGATTCCATGGCACATACCATCACTTCCCATTCCAGTACCGCCGGTCCGCTGTGAGAGTAGCTTGAAGTTAGCACTAGAACCATCACCATCGTACCAGCCTTTCAGCTGGTGAGCCTCAGGAATGTCTGGATTTTCTAGGAATGTGGCAGATGCAGGAAGAGAAACAGATTTGCCCCCACCAAACTCATTCACTTTGCCGCCCTTAACAGCGACAACAGGTTGGTTAGAGCCATCAAACTCCTCAGCTTGTGATCCCCATAGGGTCAGGTGAATCTGGTACCAAAATTGAAATATAATTAAGAAACATGACTTGAGGACAAAATTTAAGAGAGAATAATAGAAAAAGTAATGAATCTCACAGCTGTGTTGGTCTTATCGACTATGGTCACTTCGCGTTTCTTGAACTCCTTGTTAGTTGATTTTGAAGTAAATGTTGTAACTTCACCTGGAGTCTTTACAACTCCAATCACATCTACAAGCAAGATTATGATATTTGAAACATTGATTCACATCTTAGACACTATCTATTGTTAACAATAAAATCAGCAGATTATCATACCAACTAGCATGTTAGGCTCTATAATCTCAATTTGATCAAGGGGTACAAAGTTAAACTTGATCTGGGGAACACCATCATCATCTTCAGGAACAGGAAGGATTTGAGATTCATTATTTAAATTCAATTCATAATCATTGTTCAAGTTTGAATACATTTTGTTGGCTGTCTTTAAAGTTCCCTTAGTAATGAGGTACACCTTTCCAACCTGCATAAAATACCAAATGTTAGAAAAGAACAGAGATACAACACATTAGACTGTCTTTAAGATAAGGGATTTACCTCAATCATATCATGAAACTTGGTGCATTGTTCACGGAATGCAGTGACACGAATTTCTCCTGAATCATCAACCAAATCGAAAGAAAACAAGGATCCCTCTCCTTTAGCATTTGACCAAGATCGTTTCGGGCCCTTTGAGGTAACTCTGGCTTTGATGACCCATTTGTTTTGATATGGTGTGAGACTTGCAATGGGGTGCGAATGAGTGTTGGGTGTAAGCTCCATTCCACCCATCCCATGGCCTGGTGATCTGATGTTGTTGCCATAGCCACCACCAAAACCTGATCACAAAGAAACTTATGATCCAAAGGCAAACTGAGCCAAGTTTAATATACAGGGTACACCTTCCAGGGACATACCGCCTCGGTTTCCTCCATTGACAGCTGCTGGTGCTTTAGGGGGTGTAGAGAACGCAGGCTTCGGCGCTGGGGCAGGGGCAGCTGAGTTGGAGCTGCTTGCTTGGCCATTGACTGGTCTGCTTGGAGGTGCTGCTGCAGCAGGGGCAGCAGCAGCAGCAGGAGGTTGAGCCTGACCCTCTGGACTCCAGGACACGGGATTACCAATGCGGCATCCAACTTCACTTCCAGGCGAGACCACTTCTACATCAAGAATTATCATGACCCGTCTGGAAACATGAGAATTTTGTTCAATGTTACACTGTTCCTGAAGCACTGACCCTAAGAAATAAAGAAAACAAAACACACGAAAGCAAGGCATTTTCACGAGAAAAAAGACTTACTTTTCTCCTTTGCCAGAGTTAGGCACAACACTTGTAATGTATCTTTTAATGCGGACAATGGTATTGTCACCAAGGTCCCCATTACGAATCTTGTCATTCAGTTGTGTTGCCAACATGGCAAAACTGTTGACATGAACCCCATCAGACACCAGGAGGCGATAACGCTCATTGTCACCAGCGCCTGATATCTTTTTGCTACCCTGGTGGGGACAAAGAAACAAAGTCAGGAATGGATGGGTCCACTTTTGAACAGAATTACTGGAAACTAAAATGAAACTTACCAGAATTTGCATGATTGGTTCATCTATTTGACCCCCATTCATGATGGTCTGCAAAGAGACAAGCACATAATTATGGTAAACTGTTATAGTTGATGTAATGGGAAACGGTCTAACATGCCTAAGGTTAATGACACGAATTGAAACATAAGCCTCAAGGGATGACAAAGTTCAGTTGAGTAAGAAACATAGGTCCATGATTATTTTCCTAAGTGTCGAAAAACAGGACATATAACGTTGGAAGAACAACAAATGGTTGTTGTGCAACACTATGTTCATGGAACAGATTAGATACTCACGTCCAAGGCTCCTTCGGAGAGATCCATGTTAGAAGGAAGGATGGAGCAAGTCAGAGAAACACAACCAGGCACTGGCAAACGACAACTAAGAGTTGCTTCTAGACAGCAAAAACTGACCAGCGCGCAGAGAAAATAAGTCACTTCACTCAAGACTCGGATGTCAAAGATGTCAACCAAGCAAATCTGCAACAATGCGCCGCGAGCCGCGTAAAAGTGGCGGGAGGAGCGAAAGGGTTCCTGTGCCTTCTTCGAAACGACAAAAGAGACCGGAGAATCTGAGAGCGGGAAGCTTAAATTTGGGCTTTTCACTGCTCCAGTCCTCGGTCTGAGGAGGACCAAAGGGGCATCCAAGGATCCTACCACAATATCGCCAAGAGGTTCATACATGGGAATGTACTTTTTTCTTCCAACATTCAATTTAACACACAAAAAACAAACAAACTTGAGTGTGCTTTCAAGACATCGATATTGTTTCGATAGATCGCGTCGCCCTTACGACCCCCCCCCCCTTCCACCCGCTCCCCTACTCGTCCCGTGTGTGTGACGTGACTGTGTGTGTGTGTGTGTCTGTGTGGTTTTGGTTGGTTGTGGTTGTGCGTGCGTACGAAACACGCACTGTTTGTGTTTCTGTTCGGTTTATACGTGCGCGCTGAACCATTAGGCCTCTTCGGTTCGGACTCTTGTAAGTTCTTCCTTGCCGAGGAAAATGGGCCATGCACTTTTTGCCTCTTTAGTTGATGCAAGAGACTGTTGTTTGCGACGCGACTTCCTCGTGGTTCTTAACCTTACCGTTAACACGTGTTGTCGCCGACGGGCTGTTTGGCCTTGCCTTTTATCTGTTTATTTTGCTTTTAGTGTGTATCTCTTTCAAAATTCCTGTGGTTTAATCCTTTTACGTGTCTTATGTGTCGGTAGCCGATATTTTGATGCCTCATGCCCTTATTTGAGTCGAAGGGAGTGTCAACAGTGAGTGTGTTATTCTGTTCCAGGTGAATTGTTTCTGCCCAAATGACTGTTGCCAAAGCCATGAAGAGCCCGGGGCAGAAGCTCAAATCACCCAAGGGAAGGGGCCCTGCAACACCCAATCTAAAGAGTCCCAAAGGGAAAGGTCCAGCGACTCCGAAAGGAACCCCTAATGTAGCCAAGACCCCTAAAGGAACCCCCAATGTAGCCAAGACCCCTAAAGGAACCCCCAATGTAGCCAAGACTCCTAAAGGAACACCCAATGTAGCCAAGACCCCTAAAGGAACACCCACTGTAGCCAAGACCCCTAAAGGAACACCCACTGTAGCCATGACTCCAAAAGGAATGCCCGATGTAGCCAAGACTCCGAAAGGAACCCCGAATGTAGCCAAGACTCCGAAAGGAACCCCGAATGTAGCCAAGACTCCGAAAGAAATGCCCAATTTAGCCAAGACTCCGAAAGAAATGCCCAATTTAGCCAAGACTCCAAAAGGAACTCCCAATGTCGCAAAGACTCCCAAGGGAACACCCAGTGTGGCCAAGGCTCTGCAAAGTGCGACAGAAGCCGCTAAAGGAAGTGCCAAGGTTGCTCAGTCACCAGTTGGGGGTAAGAAGCGACCCTTCAATGGATCACCCAAAGCTGTGAAGACTTCGTTCTTCAGTGAAGGCGTAACAAAGTCTTTGAAACAGGAGCTCCCTTCAGAAGAATCAAACAAGTAAGTTGTATCACTATCTTATCTCATCATTATATCAAGTGTTTTTCCTATTGTTTATTGGATGTCATTTGTTACTTTGCCTTTCTAGGGGAATCGCATTTAGGAAAGTTCGCATCAGCAACGTATCCGATGACGCCACACCCAAACTTCGTGAAATTCTGACTCCTCGAGGAGAAATAGTTCAGGTTAATTTTTTATTCTCTCTTACTGCCATTTGTATGTTAATTAATCTCAAGGTGTTTATTTAAGCCATGATTTATTTTGTTCTACATCAGATGAAGAGACGCCACCATAATTTTGTAGTGGAATTCAAGACTGCCGAAGAAGCACGTGCAGCAAAGAAGCTGAATGGTGTTTTACTTGATGGTCGCCACCTAACAATAAGTCATGTAGATGACTCAAAAATACCCATCCATCAAAGACTTACTCTGTCTAATCCCCCTAAAGGTAACTACATAGAAATGGATCGCATAGTAAAGGAATGTTTTTAATCACCAGTTTTGGGAAACTGCTAATGACATGGTGACCATTACTACTTCTATGGTGGATTTGGTTGCTGTATGGAAGTTAATGTCTCTTTCACACCTGCAACATAGAGTAGATTAAGTGTGCATCTAGTGTTTGTCTGATACTCTTTGACCTGTACTTTAATAGCATACCTTTTCTTTCCAGACTTAAATGATGAGGATGTTTGGTCTACCTTTGGTAAATATGGTAAAATTGCCAGAATTGCTATATCACGAGACAGGAAAAAGAAAAATGTTACTAAGTGTGTCTTCTCTTTCGAAGTGAGTATCTGCCCGTGAGAGTAATTTATTTACCTGTTTAGAATTTATTTTAATATTGTTTTGAACTTCTAGGAAGAAGCTAGTGCAAAAGCAGCATTGTCTTCAGGATCTGTAAATATCCGAGGAAGTAAAGTCAAAGTCTCAGTATATACACAAGAAATATTTTTCCCATTCATGAATACTGTTTTCATTTCTAATATTACCTCAGGTTCGAATCCCCCTTTTATCTCTTGATATAATTTTTTGAAAATTGTATCAATGTAAGTCTGTATACTTATGTGATTCTTGTATTTCTAGATGTCACAGAGGAAGATGTTTTAAAGTTTGTTAGCAAAGCTGGTCCAGTGTCAGGAGTGCGTATAAATGCCCCGTACAAGGACAGGCATGCAATGGTTTACATGACAGTAAGTTTCATATTTTTTCTCTTAAATGAAATCAATAGTGAGAAGGATTCCTTGTACCATTTTAATTATATTTCAGAATGTTGCTGATGTGGAAAAGGCTCTTGAGCTAAATAACACTACATTTAAGAATTCAGTTGTGAAAGTAATGAGGCACAAGAGGGCAGGAACAGCAACAGTGAAAGAGGAGGTTCCAAGCAAGAAACAGAAGTTGAATAATGGTGTAGCCAAAGCGCAGGAGGCAAAAGCTACAGTAAAGAAAGAAGAAGACGATGATAGTGATGATAGCGAAGATGAAGATCTTGCTGCTTTCCAAGGTCAACTTCAGAAACTGAATGCTGTTGAGGGGAGTGAAGATGATGACGACGAGGAAGACGATGACGACGAGGAAGACGATGACGACGAGGAAGACGATGACGAGGAAGACGATGATGAAGATGATGTTGACGACGAGGAAGGTGAGGACGATGATGATGAGGACGATGATGATGAGGACGATGATGATGAGGACGAAGATGACGAGGACGAAGATGACGAGGGCGATGATGACGAGGATGATGATGATGAAGATGACGAGTGAAGTGCTGATAAGATTGCCTTAATTCCAACCATCAAATTTATTGGAGTCGAGAAACTTAAGAAAAAAGTGTCTTTCCAATATTAATGATGTACACTGTCATGTGATGAAATATGATACAAAATTAATTAGCAAGTCAAAGTGCCTTTTACAACTGTCTATAGTATACACAATACTAAGTTCTTAGCTTTGTGTTTCATCCGTTTTGCAAGAAGTTCCATTTTTCACTGGAAAGTTAAATTTCCGACCAGTTGGTTTTTGTGGGTGTCTAGTTGGTTTTACAATGACAGGAGAACAAAAGAAAACTGTAATATCTTTACTATACAAATTATGTACAAATGTTATGCGATGAAATATAATAAGAAACTTTGAATCAAGGCAAAGTTTCTTTAACAATCGTCTTAGTTTGTACAATCAGTAGTTCTCTGCCCATTGTTGTTGCAATTTTGAGACCAGTTCTGTTATGCATGACCCGTCATGTCAGTAAAATTTTTGACATGCCATCAAATTTGAGTGAATAAAACTCTATGGTGTTCTGTATTTTTATTTATGTGCTGTTACATTCAAAAAGTAAAAATAAAACAACTATAAAAATTGGAACTTATGTGTATCAACTTTAATAACCCAGCTAACGTTCTTTAGCATCAAGTGCCTGGCCCTGCTTGATGTGCCAATTACTTTGCATATTTGATAGCTGGAGGCTTTTGTTGGACTGAGGTGCTGTCAAAGGTCCAGCCTTGCACCTGGTGCCTGCTTGTTTTATCTATTGGCGACGTTTAGGCAAAATATCCGTGATGACATCGTAGCACGTGACGCACTCCTGGTTCGGATCGACCAGCTTGATCTTGGCCTTGAAGCGGCCGTACGGGAGGGTCTTGACGTTGGAGGGCGGCTTGGCCTCCACGACGAAGTCGCGCACCAATGCTGCTACCTGCCGCAGACCAACGCTTTTTAATTTTTTTTTGAAAACAAAAACCAATGCTCTTGACAGGTTTGATGCAGGATTGAACCTTCTCCCTGCTGGGATGACCTGACCAAAGTCGTTTTAGCCGAAAGAGGGGACTGTCGGGTCGGGGAACATCGCATCGCAAGAGTTGCCTACTTACAGGGGCAAAGTGCGACTTTTCCCTTCCCTTTCAGGCGGCTTGGCGTGCTTGGCGGCAAAGACAGTGTGCGTACTCACGGGAGGAAGGGGGCAGTCCGTGACGGTGCCCCCGTAGTACAGGTCGGACACCTGCTTGAAGACGTCCGGGCGAGTGGACTTGAACGTCGAGCAAGGGTTGGGCACCGTCATCTTGAAGACATTATTTGTCCACCCTAGGGAGCTCCACCTCGACACCTTCACCTCTGTCTACGAAAGAAAGACACGAATCGGTGCTCGCCCAAACTCTTAGCGAGCTTCTGGGATTGTTCGATATGTGAGCAACCCGTTACCTTGTAAGTGTCATCCACTGGTACAGACACGTTCACGTCGGCGTTGTAGGTGTACTTGTAAGGGTTGTTGGGGTCTCTGGCGATCTTCATGTTTTCTATGTTCAGCTTTTCTGGATGGAGGCACTTCTCGGCCGCTGGACACACGTTGAAGGAGCGGAGCTCGACGCGGAACGGGCCCTAGCGAAAAGAAAGTTGCAACAAGCTAGTTTTTGTTTCCGGTGTCTGTCCCGTTTTTACGGATGCACCTTTTAAAATTAATTTTCAAAAATTAAGTTGGCACTCCTTGCTCACTATGCCGGAAGGTATCCTCTCCGCGCGGCAGGACGACAGGCGGTTCGCGACCAGGGCGGCGAGGAGCAGCACCAGCACGGCGCTCTTCGCCATGACGGCCACCGGACTGGCGGTCGCGTTGTCGCGTTGGTGTCCGGCCCTCCGGCCCATCCACTGCCAGTCCCGCCAAACCCTCTCCTTTCCGTGTGGCGTGGCCGGCCTGGCCTGGCGTGGCGTGGCGTGGCGCGGCACTGACACTGACATTGTGCCGCGCCGCCACGGCCGCCCGGAGACGTCCTTGCTCTGTTATAGAGATTTGGCGATAGGGAATCACGAAGGTATCGTCACGGCAGGGGCCCGGACGACCAGCCGGCCCAACGCACACGCGACCTTTAAAAAAATTATTTATTTTTGCGGCGGTAATTTTGACAACAGAAAAAGTGAGGTCCTCGTGAGTGGGAGGGGTGGGGGGACGCTGATGTTCCACGTTCCGTGGCGACTTCCATCGGCAGTTCGACGGCCACAGTGGCTCCACACCAAAACTCGTTTATGCACCACGCCGATCAAATTCACGCTGCTGCCTCCTTAAAACTGACGGCGGGCAAACTCCTCCAACGAAAACCAAGGGGTGGTAATTACAGTTCAGTGTGCCCCTTCCCCTCCTCCACATTCCGGAGCGACTGTTTTCGACACCAGCTGGTGGTTGAACCACGTACGCAGAGAGAGAGAGAGAGAAGAAGAGACAGAGAGAGAGAGAGAGGCAGAGATGCCCCATGACATCACGCCGTGTGCCGCCCTGACGGGCTGTCTCGTCCTGCTCCGCGCTCCGCCAATAAAGCAAAGCAGGGCTGCCTCTCCCGCTTGCCGCCATTGAGCCGTGTGCTCGGCGTGCTCGGCTTTCATGCCCGGGGTGCGGATTGCGATGCCAGAGGCGCCAGAGGTACTGAAAACCAATCACTTTGAAATGGGATCCTGACCGGTGGGTGACACGATAAATGCGCTATCAAAACAAACGAAAATACAAAAATTTTCTGTGCGTAACACGAAGAAAAGTAGTAGGAAACCTAATCAAAGTAATGATAACTGTGCACGGTATTATACATGCTGAGTTTGAACAGAAAATAAGTAGAAACGGCTGAACGTCGAAAAAGTCGAGAAATTGACATGATTTTACGAAATGAACTTGTTTACTTTTCAATCTGACTTTCCTTGTTTTCTGCCCCCGGATTGTCTCAGCGTCTTAGCCCACAAAGCATGTCCATGGAGAATCGGTCGAATCGGTCTGTGTCCGAGGGATCCCTCGTTGAAGCACGCCCATGTTGCACGCCGGCGGTTCAGTCCTGGAAACAGAGGCGCGCACGAACAAGCGTTGTTGGTTGTACCACGCACGCCCCCACGCGTTGATACTCGCGCAGGGGCAACGCGGTCGGGGTGGCTTGAGGGGTGCCCCCTCCCCCTGGCCTCAAGCCTGGCCTCCCTTCGGGGTCAGCGGCCCTCGGACGCATTAGCGCATACTCAGGAGAATTAGTAAACATCTCGTGCGTGAAAAAAAGGGAGGACGAGACCTTGCAGTGGCGCAGAGGTAGGCGCTGCGTTCTCCAGCGCACATGCATGATCTTTTTCTTCTTGCCACCCGAGCCGGAGAGAACTGCAGTTCAAGAGTGGAACGAATGTGGCCGGGCTCTGCGAGTGGGCCCGAGAGTCCGGGCGCGGCGCGCGGCGCGCGGCAGTTGGAGGCTCAGGCTCAGGCCCACTGTTTGCTATCGAATCGGCACCATCAGCCGATTTAATGACACACCAGGCCGTTATGGACGGAGCGAGGTATCGCGGGCAGCCCCAGGCCCCAGTGGCCAGGCCCGGCCCAGCCCCCAAGGTCAGTGGACGCCATTTTGCTCCCTCCCTGCGTCCTTAGAGAGCGTGTCCTGGGCTTCGAGGCGAGTGAAGAGTAAAAAAAAGAAAACAAAAAAAAAAACACGATAAAACAAAAACAATCCTCGTGTCAGCACACAATTACATCTGGCGCTTGCATGTCGAGGGAGTACACATGCAGCCGACGTGGTCAAAGCCGCTTGGTGAGCATAGAAAACGTGTGAATCTGCTCGTCGGCCGCTGCGCCCGCTGCTCCGGCAGTGCACACCGATGCCGTTCCAGTCGCTATCTGTCCCTCTCGCACTCACGGGGCGACCCCTTGGGGCGGGAGAGAGACAGAGCGACGGGACTGCGGTACAGTAGTTCGAATTGCGGCAAGCCAACAACGACTAGTGTCTGGCACTGCGATGGTGGTGCTATCTGCAGGCCCGGCGCACCATCGCGACAAAAGTCCCAACGCGTTTGCCGCCGTGCCGCCGCGGCGTGAACGCGAGCGTGAATGATAATGTTGTGGTTAATGGCGCCACGTCCGCGCGGAGCTGAGAGAGAGAGAGACAGAGAGAGAGCGAAGCGCCGTCCGAGGCGCCCACTAGCCCGCAAGACAGGCGTGTCGGCCGGGTGGCCTAGCCCTTCGTCGTAAGGCGTTCTGCCCGCTCTGCCTCCAACGCCAAGGGAACTGAGACAACACAGCAGAACGGTTCCGCATTCCGTTACCGTTCACTTCCTTCTTCCCTTTTCACGCTCTCAAAGTCCTGCCTCACCGTGACTCTACTCTTCGCTCGTTGCGGCGACGCGCCGCGACGGCTAACGGAATTTAGATGGAAGACGTGCACATTTTTAATGCGTTCCTTTCGAGGTTCCTTTCCCCTTCGCACCTCTCGGCCCGCGTCTCGGCCTCTCCACGCCACCGCAAAGTAGAGTGACGTGGCGCTGCGCTTTTGGACCCTTCTCATCCCCCGCTGTCCCCCCCCCCCCCCTCTGGGCCCGCGTCTCCCGCGTGCCAGCAGACATCGCTGACTCGAATCTAATCCTTCGGCCGGACTGAGTTTCACTTCGCGCCCCCTCCCCCCTTTTCGGTTGGCCACGACGACCGTGCCACGAGCAAAAAGGCGAGACGAACACCGACGCACAGCGAAAGCCCCAAAGACCCGCTGCAATGCCAGGAAGTCCCCTCCCCCTCCCGGGCGTTTCCGTACCGTGTCTCATCGGTTATCAATTAGCCTGCAGGCATCTATCATGGAGCCCCTCGCTCGGCCCCTCGCGGAATCGTCGCGCTCCTTCCCCACCCCTGTCTACTCTCGTTTTCCCGCTCTCCCCCCCCCTCTCTCGCTCTCCCTCTTTCTTCATCTGTCATTACGGCCTCTCGCTCCCCTGGCTTCGTCTGTCATTATTGCCTCTCGCCACTCTCGCGCGGGCTTTGTTGTGGGGGGACAATTTTCTTTGTTGGCGAGCGAGCGCGGCGCGCGGCGCGGGCACCTTAGTGGAGCGTTGCTGGGAATGTCGTCGTCGGTGATTGGCCCCCCTGGCCAGACTGCCGGACGGATTGCCGCGGTGGCCGCGGCGTGACAACTCCGGACAGGCAAGAAAGGGGGTACTTTATTTTAGAACGGTGTTTTCCGCGCCGTCTCGGACGCCCGGGGGATTTATGGTTATGAAAGTAAAACAAATCCCTCCCTCTTCGCACGCTTCGCACCACAGGGTCACACACTGACAACAAGAAAAACAAGGACACTCTCCCTCCGTGCACGGCGTGGCGTGGCGGGGCGTGTGCCGCTTGCATTGTTTCCCCGGTTTGAAAGTGGCGCGCACACAGGATATTATAAAAACAATGCCCTGGCGCACTGGCGCCCCTCCCACTCCGGATCCCCTGTGGATTAGGAGCGGATGTGGCCAACTTTGTCAGGCGCCTCGTTGAAAAGCCTCAAAGTGGGCGTTGTATTGAGATTCAAGGATCCTTTCGCCCGAGCCACTCGGGCAGCCCTCCACACTCGAGCCACCGGGCAGGGCGGTGCGGCGAGCGCGACGTTAAAATGTTAAAACGGGTGGGACGGGATGGGAGGTTGGCGGGCGGGTCACTTGGTTGGGCTGGGTGGGCTGCCAGGCTGCCCTGGCTGGGTCGGGTGAGGCCCTATAGGCCAGGGCACGACACGGCACGGCGTGTCAGCGGATAAGCCCGCTCAAGCAAACAAAGGAAAGATGGACCAATCCCGAGGCGAACAAGATCCTGACGGTACAGTCAAATGGCGTCTGGAGGACTTCCACTCTGACGCCTTGCTGACTTCACAGCAACATTTTGCGTTCTTTTTGGGTACGGATGCCCAAGTCACCTGCTGATTCAGTTCTCACCAGTCACAAGAATTAACAAAACATAGTATTCTCAATTTCGGCGCGAAAAGACGAAAAACAGTTTAGCCTGGAGGACTTTTTGTTTCTGGCGAGGAACGTCCGCGCGTGCAGCAGCCCGAACACGGTCGTCGGGTCTCGTTTCGTCTCGTCAAGTTGGTGCCAATGAGTCCCCACCTGTTGGTCCGCTCCATTGGCGGCCCTGGCTTTTGTCGATCGTCGCCGCTCCGGCCGCGCCGCCTTCCGAAATAGCACTGCTCATTGCCCGTCCCGTCGTCCCATCCGCCGATCCGCCGTTCGGACTCGGAGACGCGGAGACTCGGGCCCACTCGGGCCGGCGCTGCCAACCTGACGGAGTGTGAAGTCGGCTAACGACCGACCAGGCCGACCAGGCCGACCAGCCCGAACGCGCCGCACTTTGCATAAGGGGCGCAGATAATTCCTGCGGTGACGGCCTTATCATTTCTCCCTGCTCTCTCTCTCTCTCTCTCTCTCTCTCTCTCTCTCTCTCTCTCTCTCTCTCTCTCTCCAACGACAGCCCGAATTTCCCGTCCCTTTTTCAACTCGTGCTCTTTCAACCTCCTGCCACCCGCCCCGCCGCTTTCGGGAGCGCGTGATTTGCATAAAGTAGCAGACACAATAGTCACGAGGTAACTCTTGACGCCGGCGCGGAGAGAGTAAAAAAAAATGAGGGAAAAAAATGGAACAAACGGAGGAGCAGTGCGAGAGAGGCTGTATGAGAGAATGGGAGGCGATAAAGTGAAATGCCTGCCGGGCCGGCTGGGCTGCTGGTTTCGCTTCGCCCGCCTGGGCCTGGGCCCTGGGCCTCGCCGGCGTGGGATGTGTCACGGACGAACCTGCCGGCAGCCCGCGCGGCCCGCGCCCCCAAAGGTGTCATTGAATCGCAATGCCTCTCTGCTTGCCACACCGCAAAATTTAAAAGAAAAAATGAATTTATTTAATTAAAA